TTTCATAAAGAAGGAAAATCCATAAAGTGGCTTGATACATTAGATTTAAGGAGTCTGCTAAATGTAATGTAACGTAAGCAACATCTGTCTGACTGTTGGAAAAATGAACGGACTGCCAGCAGATGGCACTGTGGCCCCAGATGGCACCAGCTGAGGAATCTTCACTTATTGGTATTGAGTGAGTGAAACTGATGTGTGACTGTTTTGCCTGAGTTTCCGACCCGATCATCAACATGCAGCTGGAGTTCACGGACGGCAGCTGTTGTTTTTACCTCCGTTGGATTCCGGCCCCTGCAGACCCTCAGCGTTCAGCACGTGGACCTGAGTGACCAGCTGAGGGTAGCCACACATGCCTGTCCAACACGTCTGAGGAGGCTCATCCAGAGTCAGCTCTCTGGGAAACATAGAGAGACAGCGGTGAAGCTAACAGGGATGATGTCATACATATATTCATGTGTTAGCCCCGTGTTATTTAAAGCAGCCTGACACAGACGTCAGGCAACGGAACAAAAAGCTGAGCTCAGACATCACGACCACACATTTACTTGCAGTCTGAAGGCACATCAGTAAAGACGCGCAGCAGGAAGTCGCCCTGCTGCGCCGGGTCAAAGGTTGTGGGGACGATGACGTAGCGGCCCTCCCTCAGCTCCTTTCTGAGGAAGACACAGCGCGAGTTGATGTAGATGGAGCCCGCCACTTTCTGCTGGGCCGAGTGCATTCGGTACTTCCTGTTTAACTCCACCTGCAAAGTGGAATAAGATTCTCTAATACTTATAAACATTTAATACAGATGAAAAGTGACATTTTGTTGCCTGGGAATTCATCAGAATTATCGTTTAACAAGCGAAACAACAACAAGAGATTTGTCTTGTTTTCACTTTCAAACTTCTTTTTTTGACGTTAAACAGAAACTAATTTACAAAACTGTTACTTTGAAACTGGACAAAAAGATACAACGTCAAAGGAGTGTGAAATGTTCCTGAGAGTTCTATGACGAAAGGTTCTGTGTGTAAGAAATACTACATCAAATCCACTGAGGTTTTGACCCTAAATGTTGCAAAAAAA